GGAGTGAGGTGATGCCCCTGGACTATGGGAGCATGGACTCAGAGAGTAGCCCATCTCCAACTAGTTCGGAGAAAACGGTGGAGGGGGTGAGAGGAGATGAGGTGGTGGAGGTTGGGGGAAAAGAGGTGGTAGAGGTTGGGAGGAATGAGGTGTTAGGGGTTGGGGTAGATAGCATACCCATTACCGTAGTAGAAGTAGAGGGTAGAGGAGAGAGATATTATGATGTGAATGCGGAGATAGTGGAGGAGGTGAAGCAGTATAGTTCTGAACTAAGGACCAGGGATAGCCTGGGTCACTTAGTGGAAAATTACGAGATCTCTTCTTGAGTGCTAGTTAGGCCAGCTGGGGTAGAGGAGAGAGCGTGTTCTGCTCCTCGGGACCATTGGATGCCCATATATTCCCACTATATGATAGCGGGGTTGAGGTTTCCAATTCCTGAGTTGCTGGTAGGATTGTTATTAGATTATAAGATAGGGTTGACACAATTAGTCCCCAATGCTATGAGGGTAATAATAGGATTTTTAGTCTATTGCTGAGCTTAGGGGATTAATGTGCCAACTGTAAATATGTTTAAGTATTTTTTTGTCTTGAAGGGGGGTAGTAGGAGGGATAAGGGGTGGTATTATTTCACCCCTAGGGTAGCCAATAGAGAGAGTAGGTCTTTGTTTACTGCGGGTCCTTCATCCATTAAAGGATGGAAGGAAAAATTCTTTTTTGTGGATGATACGGAGTGGGGGAGAGGGGATGCCAAGGTGAGGGAGCTAGCCTCCTGAAAGGCTAAAAGGGCCAACCAGAATAGGTTTAGCTTGAATGAGGATGAGGAGGAAGAAGTGAGGAAGTTAGTGAGGAAGGGGGGGGGGATTTACTAAACATAATGGACCTCACCAGCACATAATGCATAGAAGCCGTTGAGCTCTATGGGCCAAGCGCTTTGAGTGAAGGTTGGTTTAATTCTGCATTGTAGTACTGAATGTAGAGTATAGAACTGTGATTAATATTGTGTTTTCTTTCTTTGCAGCTGAAATGGATCAATTCTTAAACACTGTTGGAGGAGCGGCCATCCCCAAGAAGCCAAGGAAGAAGTCAAAGACTTCAACCAAGCAAGTGGATGAGGGGAGGGCTAGGAAGGAGGTAGTGGACGTGGCTTCAGCTGAGACGGAGGAGGAGGTGCCACAATTAAAGAGGAAGGGTTGGGAGGAGAGGAGGGTACTGTAGAAGAAGCATAAGGTGGTGGAGGAAGAGAGGGGAGATGAGGTTCCTCTGTTCGTACCTCAGCCTCCTCTTGTTGAGCTGAACCCTGAGCTCAGACAGTTGGAGGAGGGGGCTGAGGTACGAGCTCCTGGTAAGGGAAAGGGTCCTGTTCCCCCAATGACATCTCAGAGTAGCCTGTTCGAGGCGAAGAACATGACGGGGTCTAGGTGGTTCATCAACAACACCTTCCTCGAAGTGGACAAATGCAATGCGCGGGAGGAGGCTCTGAGGTACGGGGGAGCATCCGTTATATGATGAGCAACCTGACATATTACTATAAAGTAACGTGTTGTATTTCTATTAGTATGGACTATCACTAATGTGGTTTACCTGTAACATTCTAGATTTTCTCGTGTTCAACCAACTAAAAATTGCAATCATGATTTTAATTAGCCGATGAAGATCTCTCTGTTTTTTTTTTTTTTTTGATAAGAAATGGAGAAATATATTAAATAATAAAAAGTACAGTAAAAATTCCATTACATGACATATAGCTTAAAGCATGATAACCTAAAAAACAGAATCAGAAACATAACTTACAACCTAATAACATATTTAACTATGTCTATGACGAATATAGACAATTAAGTAAAGAGAGCCATCTGCAGCTAGATATTGTAATTGCAATTGCTGTATGGGTTAAATAAGACTACTTATGTAGAAAAGAAGGTTTCATGGAGCATTAGAAGCTACAAAACTTTCTCACCTATTTAACTAGCCTCATGGGGAGAGTAAGGCATTTTGACAACAAACAATCCCCAACCTGCAAGTTGTCGCCCTATCTATTCCTAAAATTTAACTAATAGAGAAGGGGCATGGCCCCTTTGTGTAAGCATAATGCATCCGTCTTTAATATGTGCTTCCCTTGCAGAGCATAAGCGGCCACATCATCAGTATCTGGTTCCGTTTTGCCTATCCGCCATATAAGAATCTGGTAGCCCAGTCGTCGCCGTGCACTCTGCCATGCACTCCCAAACATGTTCCCACCCTTTCCAAACCTCTACAAACCCATACCATCAAAACCAATTAAGGGAACTAGAGCTCCTTTGTCGGCTTGAGTATCATACACCCCGTGCAAACTGTAACCGGCAACACCCACAACATCCCTTGCACTCCATATTCGGCTGCCTAATCAAAAATTGCAAAGAAATAGCTTTGTTGAATTCGGCTTTCGTTGACATCCCATTTGAGGGGATGCGCCAAATTAAGGGTCCTACTCGTTGAATAGGAGAGCCCAAACCACGAACAAGATCAGACTCATCGGTATTCCAGACACAACCGTCAAAAATCAAACACAAAGGTAGATGTAAAAACACTAATGCCTTGTGGTCCCTTGGGCTGAAGTTTCCAAAGCAAGACAGTCGACAAAGGTGGAGGAGAGAGCAAGAAGGGAAAGGGAAGGGTAAGAAGAAAGCAGGAAAGGAGAGGCTCCGATGCCAAAGAGAGACCCAAAGGAGGAAACCTACCGCCTCTGCCTTCAACCCTAAGCAGAGCATAAGAGATCGATAAAGATCTCTCTTTTAATAGGGGAAAGACTAGGTTAATTGAGAAAAATATAATTGAAAAAAGAATAATAATTGACAAACCCCCTATTTTAAAAAATTTTATAATATATTTATTAAAAAAGTATTATTTTAAATTTAAAATAAAAATAAAAAACTTAAAATTATAAATTTTAATAATTAAAAAATAAATATTAATTTTTTATATAAAAAATAAATATTAATAGATATATTAAACAAAAAAAAAATCCCTATCATTTTTCTTTCTTTCACTCTTCGTTCCAACTCGTGAACTAATTGTTCTTTTTAACCAACAGCACCTAATGGCCACGACTCTTTGAAAAAGAAGTGGTGTCACCAACAACTAGGGTTAAACCTAGGGCTGGGCATGGTATGGTATGGTAACCATACCACACTCAAATGATGGTAACCGTTTTAAGTGGTAATGAAAAAGAGTTACCACTTCCATACCAATTGATGATTTTTTGATAATGGCTGCCAACCGTTTTTAATGGTAATGAAACTTGCTTTACCAATACCATACCATATTACCATTTTTAAACTTATTTTCTTCATTATCAATTAATTCAAGTCATTCAAAATTCAATCTTAAAAGCTCAAAATTATCTTAAAAACTTATTTTCTCCATACCGTTCTTTATCATCTTGAAGCATACAAATATATAATTATACAAAACATGCACACATAAAAAAAAAAAGAGAAAAGAACTAGCAACAATTGAAAACTTTGTAGAATAAAAAAAAAAAAAGAGGAAAAAGTTTTGAATGAGTGGTAAATTTGGTAACGATATGGTAAAAATGGTAATGACCTCCAATACCAATACCGTACCACAAGTCTAAATGGTATTACCATATTACCATTTAGACTTACCATATGGTAATTTACCATACCGTTTCCGCTGGTAATGGGACGGTACAATGGTAATTATGGCATTTATGATATAGTGCCCAGCCCTAGTTAAACCCTGAGTCACATTCCGTCATCCCCTGACCTTATGTACCATGTTCAAGAAAAGAGTGAATGTCAAATTTAATTTTAAAATTTTTTATTTTAATTAAGAGGGCATAATAGTACTTTTAAACCAACTAAAAATCTCAATCATGATTTTAATTAGCTGATAAAGACCTCTTCTGCTTTAAAAGGGGCAAAGACAGGGTTATTTTTTCAGCTTATCACTTCTTCCTTTTCCCCTGTCTGTTAATTGCCTCAGAAAATAGCTAGAATGATTTGAGCTTGGTTTTCCATTTTTTTTTCATTTGTTTTCCCTTCATCACATTTTGGCTATCCAAACAGAATGGAGAAGAAAGGTAAGTACATTACTTCATTTAGTTATTCATTTTCTATTGTTTTCGGATCATGATTGATTTCATATATTCGCACCACACTCTCGTTACACATTTCTTTTTTCGTTAACTTTCACACTCTCGTTAGTCTCTATTTCACTCTCACCGTGTTCCCACCCTCTTCTTTTTTTCTTTTTTTTTTTTTTCTCTTGGGTTCTCGAGAGAACCCAGATTGGGTTCTCCGAGAACCCACCTCTTCTTCTCTCTCGATTCTTCTCCCTTCGATAGATTTAGACCATCTCCTTGCATCTCTTCATCATCACAACCTCCACCTCCATCATCATCCTCAATGACCACCGAAATAGAAGGAGAGGGGCAGAACCATAGATCCTTCTGTTTTCCATCACCATCGTCACCATCACCACCATCATCATCGTCATCGCCAAGCAGCCCCCCCCCCAAAAAAAAGGGTGAAGTAGATCTGGTTTCAGGGAAGGAGAAGAGTTCGGCAGCTAAAAACACCAGACGAAAAGAGTTGGGTGAGTTGGGAGATGACCAAAGAGTTGGTAACGGAATTAAATGTAATTAACAGCAAAGTAATAGAAACTGAAGTGTGTAACGGAGGGTGTGATGCGGGAGTGTGGATGCATCTTTATCCTTTTCTATTAGATTAGATGTAGAGATAATTTCAACTTAGATATACTATTGTTACACAAATATATGCATGAATATTTAATTTGTGTTTGATTAACTGAAATGAAGGGGAACGTACGCAGGGATTCATAAGTAAAAGTTAAGCACTGATGAGAAACGGAAAAAGCAGCATGGCTCAGAGGACCGGAACCTACCATGATCCAGAAGCATGCAATTCCACCTCTGATCCTGCTCCTGCAACTGCAAGCACTCATATACCTGAAAAGATCGGAAGTCTCAAAGCAATAGGGTCTTCAAACCAACCAAGCAACAAGGTCAGCTACTGTTCTGAGATGGAAAGAAGAAGGGCTCACTTGCAGAAATTTTTACGCATGGTTTGGTTGATTATATTTTTCTGTTGTGTGGGGTGTCTGGTTGCTAGTTTAACCGTGCACATGATTGGAAACCATGTGATTTGGGTCTTGAAACTGTGGCAATGGTGTGTGCTAGGATCTGTGATTTTATGTGGTTTTCCTTTAATCCTATCGATTATGCGCCGGATAGTTTTATTGATTCGGAGGTGCCTCGTGTTCGTTGATATGATAAATGTTCATTATGGTTATTATATATATGGACTGGGGAAGATCATCAGTGTTTTGCTGTGGCTTGGTTTGGTTCTTCTGACATGGTCTTTGTTGCTTGCGAGTAGTGAAGTGAAGATATCAAAGGACACTTCCCAGATTCTAAATGGAATTACGAAGTCTCTTGCTACTTTTATAATAGGAGCGTTTCTATGGTTGCTGAAAAATCTTTTGCTAAACATGTTATCTCATTCATTCCAAGTCAGAAGATTTGATTGGATTAAGAATTCGTTGATTAACCAGCATATACTTGAGGTCTTTCAATCTCCAGATCAACAGCAGATCATCAACAAGTCGAAGACACAGAGATCAGGTCAAGGGAAGAACGAAATGACGTCCACTGTCGAGTTCATCATTGATGAGTTGAAGAAACAAAGATCAGGTCGAGGGAAAGATGAAATAACGACGGATATTGATTGGCTAAACAATTTAAACCTTAATGAAATGTCTGCTCGGACCATGCACCATTTAATCAATAGGATGATAAAATATGATTTATCGAGTATCACTAAGGAACTTGAGCACTTCGTTGATAAAGAGGGCGCGGCCAAATTATATGACGAGGACGGTGAGGCGCACAGATTAAAAGAAGCTGCTACAAAGCTTGTTCTCGACAGCGTGAATGCATGGTGAGAAACACAGATATATAGCTATTGCATTTTTCGAGATTCTAGTTTCTTTTAGTTTTTTAATATAAAAAAATGATTGGTACATTATCTAATCTAATATATCTAATAATATCCATTAATTCAATTATTAAAATTTACTTAAAATTTTTTTTTTTACTTAAACTTTAAATTTAAAAATATTAATTTTTTAATAATTAAACCAGTAAATACTATTAAATATATTAAACTAAATGATGTATCAATTATTCTCCTTAAATATATATCCACTCATCTATCCTTTGATTTCTGATTCGACCCATACTAAGATCAATTGCATTTAATTTTTAAAACATAATATAAATATAGTTATTTTAATTAATTTTTTTATATTATATATATAATTATATTTTTTTTTTATTTTAGATTAAAAATAATAATTTTTTTTATAGACATGTTATAAAATATACTAAATCAAAGGATATCTATATTAACATTCTTTTATATCAACATCCTTTTATTTATATTCATTTTCGCTATTGTTTAACCTGTTAGTTCGTTGATAACACAGCATGTTAATGGCGTGAGAATAAAACATTTTATGGGTAATATTGATTACCTTCTTTAAAAACGAATAATATGTATGAGATGTGAATGTTCTTTGTTTTGGTGTCGGCCAAAATGGGATATTATTACAATGGCACTGATGGCACTATAAATCTATAATTATGATATATTATTATATAATTTATTATTTTTATTTAAAAATTTATTTATGATATTATGTATATTTATTTATTTAAATAATTTATTATGATTATAAACATACAATTATATATATTTGATATTATGACTGTATCATTACTTGTAACTCTAGTGGCAAGCAAATGTTGGATTTTCTGTTAATTGAGGTTCTTAATTTTTTTTAAAATTTTTTGGAAACAGACATGTTTGGTTAGAGTAAGGGCGCTTTTCTTATTCTTTTCTTTTTCTTTTCTTTTCTTTTCTTTTCTTTTCTGTTAATTGAGATTCTTAATTTTTTTTAAAATTTTTTGGAAACAGACATGTTTGGTTAGAGTAGGGGCGCTTTTCTTTTCTTTTTCCTTTCCTTTTCTTTTCTTTTCTTTTCTTTTCTTTTCTTTTCTTTTCTTTTCTTTTCTTTTCTTTTCTTTTTCTTTTTCTTTTTCTTTTCTTTTCTTTTCTTTTCTTTTTCTTTTTCTTTTTCTTTTTCTTTTCTTTTCTTTTCTGTCAAACTATATATAAAACTAGTTAAAATTGAGAAACTAATTTCATATGAAGCTACGAATAGTTTATAATCCTTGATATTTAATTTTCTTGTTATATTAACAAATAATCAATGAATGCCTATTCTTAAAAAAATGCAAGGAATACATATACCTCATTCATATCTTAGTTTAATAGAAGTAACTACCAATATTGAATTTTAATTATTCTTAGCTTGTTAAGAAAATTTTTAAATTTAACTTACTTTTATTGTTTGAACCAAAAAAAAAAAAAAAACTAACATAAACTAAATATAGTTATAGAGATATGTTGCCGATCTTAATTTTAATTATAAAAAATAATTGATACATTTTTCGGTTTAATACCCTTCAATATCCATTGATTCAGACATTAAAATCTACAGTTTTAAATTTTTTCACTTTTAATTGAAATTTAAAAATAATAATTTTTAATAAATATATTATAGAGTATGTTGTATTAAATGGTAGTATTTTAATTACATACACACACGCAGGAATCTACTTATAGTATATGATTTTTATCATTTTAATATTGTTTGAACCATACTTATTCAAGGTACGCAATTAATTACGGTAGTAAAGCAAACCCAGGAGATAAGCGAGAGGAGAAAATAGAAGAAATCACTGTCGAATTAGAGGAGACAACACAAGTCAGCAAGGCTAGAGAGACCACAAGACCAATTCAAGTGGAGAATTCAAAACATAGCAATTCATGGGAAGAATCCAAAAGAAGGCAAGAATCTCAAATTAATCACAATATTTTTGTTTCATAGCAAATGCATTTTCCATATTTGTATTTACTTATGTTCATTTTCCCTCTTGTTTAACTTATTAGGTATTGATAACCATGTTAATGGCGTAAGAATAAAAAATTTTATGATCAGTACATTAATTGCCTTTTTTCAGGAGGATGAGCACATTATATATATATATATATATATTTATATGAAGAAGGATCTATTTATACAAAATTTTTACACATTACACTTATACAAAATCTCAATCATTTATTTCTTCATTTTTAATTGTTGAGATTTATTATCATTTTTTAGCTAAAAAAATTATCTTTAATAAATGTTAATAAATCTCAACTATTAAAAGATGAAAAATGAATTAAAATTTTGTATAAATGTGGTGTGTAAAATTTATTTATAATTAGATCTCTATTCTAATGAAAGTGATATTGTTACAATGTTACTTAATATTATAAGTTCACAATTATTATATGTTATTATATAATGAACTCTTTTTATTAAAATAATATGCTCCTTATATTATACATATTTACTTAATTTGTTAAGGAAAATTTTTAACTTAACTTTTTGGACTAAAGAGTAATCATTACTATCAATCAAACATAACCTCTAGATGTATAGTGCAGTACTTTAGTTTTAGTTGTATTAAAATATTGTAGTTACAATATCATGTAATATTATAAATTTATAATATGATATATAATTATAAATTTATAATATGATATATAATTATATAATTGATTTTTTTTATTCAAATGTTCATTTGTGATATTATATATATACATTTACTCATTTAGTATTATCTTGTGCTTATTTAATATTACATCATAATTGTAAATTTACAATTTTCATAATATTGCAACTTAGCATTGCCAGTTATTTTACTATATGATTTTTATCATTTTAATATTGTTTGAGCTATACTTATTTAAGACACAATTAATCACAGTAGTGGCGCAAACCCAGGAGAGAAGGATAGGGAGAAAAAGGAAGAAATCACTAACGAAGAGGAAGCAACACAAATCAGCGACGGTAAAGAGACCAAAAGAGTGGAGAATTCAGAACCTAGCGATTCAAGGTAAAAATTCAAAAAAAAAAAAAGAAAAAAAAAAGGCAAGAATCTCAAATTAATCACTATAATTATTTCATTGGAAATGCATTTTTGCATATTTGTATTAATTAGCATTTATTCCTACAATAATGACACAAAGTACCCCCTCAGTTTTAAAACAAGTGTTGTTTTTGGCAAGCCTTACTAATTTTTTTCATTTTAAGTGTAGTTTTCAGAGTTGAATGCATTGTTAATTTCTATCTTCACTATAAAGAAAAAAAGAAAACAAATTCATCTTCAAATGCAAAAGGGTCTTCTAGTCTTTTTTAAGGTAATTTAGTAAATTCATCAATGCTTTTTCCTGCGATTATTAATTAGCTTTTTAAAATTTTGAGTTCCTGTTCCACCATGAGCCAACACTTACTTCGAAAACGGAGGGAGTAAAATGTGAATACTAGTAATTAGCAAAAATTTTGTTCTCCTCAACTTGAGATAGACTTTCTACTTTCATTGTCTGGTGTTAAAAACGTTTTTGATGCTTACCTTACCTGTCAAAAAGGCCGCCATATGTCACATTTTCATCTTTGCGAAGACCGGTGATTAATTGACCGGCTTTGTTAACTTAGACTTTGCAGTCTTGCTATAGAGGAATTAATTATCCTTTATCAACAATTATAAAATGTACAATTCACACAAGGTGATTGCAAAACATTTTTCTGATGAGCTTATATGTATATATCGGTTGTTTTCTAATTTTTGGTTCCTAATGGCAATTCCTAGGTCCATCAATACGACTGTTGTCTTAAAACTGTTTAAGGGGGAAGCTGCCGCTGAGTATGTGATTGAACGGATAAATGGATATGTAAAAAGTGAAGGTTACATCAACGGACAGGCTTTAACGAAGTGGCTGGCAAGTTCTTACTCTTATAACAAATTTTTTAACTTGTACTTTTTATAACAAGTTAAAAATATAATTATTGTATTTTTTTTTATAATAATTGATATTAAAAAATATAAACTTTAATATTAATTTTATTATCAATACCAAATAAGTCATTTTAATTGAATACTTAATTAAATAAATATCAATATTTATATTTTTAATAATAATTAATATAAAAAATATAATAATTAAACTCTTAACATATTTTTAAAAGTACAAAGTAAAAAAATCCTTCTTATAATGAAACAAATTTTCTATCCATATCTTCTATACATTATCTTCTTTTATAATATTATATACTCCCTCTGGTTTAAAATAGTTGCCACATTAACTCTTTCGTTTTTACACTTGAGGTCTTTTAATATTATTTGACTGGTATTAATTTGAACCTTTTCTTTCTACACAACATTTTTATTGAACAGTTTTATTTGATAAAAAATTTACTTAAATTATCATTTAATTTGTATATTATATATAAGAAAGATCTAAATTCATATGTAAAAAATCAAAGTGATATTTATTATATTTTTTAATTAGAAAAATTATTAATACACACTTGGTTTAACACATTTTTTGACACTCATCTTGCTTCAAGTATTAAAATATAATATGAGTATAGTAGATTCAATTGGTGTCTGTATGCTATATACATAACTACGTTTTTAAATTTATTTACTTTTAATTTTATATAAATAATAATAATTTTTTAATAAATATATTGTACAGTACGTTAAACTAGAGTGTGTATCAATTAATGTCTTTTTAATTAACAAATTAATTCATGTACTTTAAAAACTCATTAATTGAGAGATAATTGGTTTAGTTTTGTGAAAATATAGAAATAAATGGAATTTCAATCTTTCTTGCATACATGAAAGCCCCCAGCTGTAAAAATTAGAAGTTTGATGTTAGTCTTCCTGTAAGTTGTGTTTTTTTTGGTTGTTCCACATATATTTTAATTACATTTGTAAGCTGTGCTCCTTCGTTGTATGTGTTTTTATACATACAGTACGTACAATTAATTCTTCTTTACATATTCTTAAAAATCATATATGAGTTCCTTCACTCGTGATTGCTTTTGTGCAGGTGAATGCCACTATTGAGCGCAAAAGACTGATTCAATCTTTAAAAGATACCAAAAGTGCATTGGAAAAGTTGAACCTGCTTATCTTGGGCATTGTCTTTATTCTGTTCTTCATTGTCTGGTTACTTATTCTGAGAATTTTGACAAACAACATACTTATTTTGCTATTATCTCAGTCTTTTGCTCTATCATTCATGCTTGGTAGCATTGCCAAGAGCGGATTGGAGGGCATCATATTTGTCTTTGTAGTGCACCCGTTTGATACAGGTGATCTCTGTCTCATCAACGGAGAAGAGGTAAATTCAATATCCTACATTTATATAACTTATATAAATATATATATATATATATATATATAAACGTTTGAAGATCAGCTTACTTGACACATTAATGCTTTACAGATGGTTGTTGAAAAGATTAATCTTTCGACTACAGTCTTTCGAAAAGAAAGCAAAGAAAAGATCATCTATCCGAATTCAGTTTTAACTACGATGCCCATAAAAAATTTTTACTGGGGCACTGCTGACGTTAAGGATTCTCTGGAGTTTACCATTGCGGGAAACACAACCAAAGATGAGTTAAAGAAACTGTACGATGACATAAAAGAGTAAGCCAATTCTACAAGCTTTTCTCTTCCCCTGTTGCTTATTGTAGATGTCAGACGTTTATGTTAATATTATTTATGAAAAATAAATCAGGACCCATGCACTGTAAGTTTTTGATTTATCATCAGACCTTTACTGTTTGAGATATATTTCTAAACATATATAATATAATACCATCATTTTCAACACAGTTGAATTTGATAATCAATAAATAATAATTTATGTAAGATTTAATTACGGGTATATAAGTATAGTTCCAAACTCATAAGAACTGTTTTAAGATATTATGTGTTTTGCAACAAAACAAAATTGCTCTTATATCACATGCAGATCTTATATTAAAATTCATATGTGAATTTTCACAATAATTGTAAGTTCTAATTCACATCGTTGGTGATGCTGAAGGGGGTCTTAGTGTCATTAGCGGTTCTGAGAAGGGAATGTTTTGTCGTTCAGAGTTACATGATTTGCTCCCCTTGTTTCGATATTCGTATATACACTATATTGGATAGAGATGACTTAACTTTTAAAATTTCAGGTTTATGAAGGGTGGTAATAATTGGATTCCAGCTGTTGCCATGTCTGCGTCTAAGGAAATTGAGGAAGAAAAGATGAAAATGGTTCTCTATTTTACTTGTCGCGACATAAACGTTCAGAGATCCGTGCCACCGATGGTTTGGCGGAGACATCTCTTAATGGCTGCACTCAAGAATATTTGTGGCAAGCAGAAGATCAAGTGCTATAATATTCGGCCTCAAGCGGTTGATCTCGGCTATTCTACATTTCTAGCTCCTGCTCCAAAAAAGAATAACTAGCTATCCTTTTTTTTTTTTCTCCATTTCAAATTAAACTTCCATTTAATATGATTGTAATTTTAGATTTTTTGCTTTTGATTTTTGTAAATTTTGTAACTTTAAATAAAAACCTTGTTTTGCTTTTATTTATTTTTATAACATATTATTATAATTATTAAAAAAACAAGAATAAAAATAATTTTAATATTATTAAATACATTTATATTTTTTATTATCTTAACTATATATAATATTGTCGTAATAACAATTTTTTTAAAAACTTTGAAAATAAATACCTATTAGATTTTAAAAAAATCATTAATAAATACCCAATAGGCTTAAAAAAATTTCTTAATAAATATCCCATTGGTTTTTTTTATAAATAATCTAGCAAATTGTAGTTCAAATTTAATATATATATATATATATATTAAATATTACAAGTCACGCTTTTTTATTATAAAATTTCATTTGGACTTTCTTTAATATTATCACACCCCAAAACCAAAAGCAAAACAAACGTCATACATCTGTGAGTGGGTCTCACAAGTTTAGGCTCAGAACCTATTTAATATATTATGCAACAATTCATATCTTCTAATAGTCCATTACAAACCATTATAAACAATAAAATAACCTATATAATCTAAAAAATCTATAATTGAATCTAATCAAGTTAAATTATACATAAAACCAAAATCTAGTCTCAATCCATTAAATGGCAAACTAGCCAACTAACACGTCACATGCCTTAATGATCCCAATGTCTCTAGTCTCATCACTTGAAATGGTATACAAGAAAAACAACATGAAATAAATCAATAAGTATATTATGGTTTAACTCCATTTAATTTTAAATGTAAACATGCCGAATATAGGTTATCAAAGTAGTATTTTAGTTAAAAAGTAGTAAAGTATCATAAACCTCATTTAGTGGTCTCTTCAATTAGTCATGTCTAGTGTTTACACTCTCATTGCTAAGATAACAGGGATAATAGGGATAACTAGTGTTTACACTTCCATTGGCAGGATAACAGTGACACTAGTAGAAATACTCATTGTTCAAACCGAAAAATTGGTCTAAAAATTGTAAAAATTGGTTTGAATGTACATGTTTGGACCGCTATTGATCCGGATAGTTGGTATGAAAAAACCTAATTTGAATAATTTAATTTTCAGACCAATAAAAAATCGGTCTAAATATTATCAATTTTTAGACCAAAGTTGGTTTGAATAACGCTTCAGAAAGGCTGACATCTAGATCGGGAAATAACTGAAGCTAGACCAAAAGTGATCTGAATAATTATAATTTCCAGACCAACAATGGTCTAAATATAAAGGGAAATTTTAGACCAAAAACGGTCTGAAAAATACTGGCCTAAATTTCAAAATTGAAAAACTATGGTCTTTGTTTAGTTATCCTTCGAAAATTATTTCAGACCATTAGTGGTCCAAAAATTGATGGCCTTATCTAGAAAAATGAAAAAGTTTGGTCTCTATGTGTCACTATGCTAAAACTATTTTCATACCATTATTGGTTTGCAAATTATTGGACTCATTTACAAGAAAAAAAGAAAAAAAAAAAGAAGTTGGTTCAGCATTTCTAACAAAAAGTTATCCAGACCAATTATGGTCTAAAATATACTAGTTTGACACCAAAAAAAAAAAGTTATATTTAGTTAATATTTTTTCTCCATACAAATAGTTACACATTATAAAAACTAAAAGTAATATATTAGATATTATATAATATTTACATGTATAATATTTCTTAAATTAAAAATAAAATATACTACATATACTAAGTTAAAAAAAAAAACCACCACCATAATAATTGAAATTATATACAAAAGTAAAATAGAAAAATACTTAAATGCTTAAATATAATTACAAAAAATATTAATAAAAATCTATAATATATACAACAAACAACATTAAAAAAAATAATACTCAAACCTATTTTTATACCTTATAAATTTGATCATTTCCTACAAAAATAAAAGAAATGAAATTAATAAGATAAAATGAAAATAGAAAAAGCATTAAAA